CAGCCCTCCTGCCGGGGCCGCTCCCAGCAGGGGCGTACGGGCCGCTGGCGCCCCGGCCCCACCCCGCTCCTGACAGGGTGCTGCAGGGCCCCGGGCCCCTCCTGCCCGGGTGGCCGCCTGCTCCGCTGAGCGGGCCGCTGGCGCCCCGGCCCCACCCCGCTCCTGACAGGGTGCTGCAGGGCCCCGGGCCCCTCCTGCCCGGGTGGCCGCCTGCTCCGCTGAGCGGGCCCAGGCTCCCAGGGCTGGTGGGATCCCCTCCCGCAGGGACAGGGTCGCCAACCCCTTCCCAGGTGTCCGGTTTGGAGCTTTCTGTTGGGGAAACGAATTGAAACAATATAAATGAGAAAATAGAAATGTCCGGTATTTTCTAAATCAGATGTAATGGAGATTGTGATGTACTGTCAAGTGTGTCTGGTATTTTTGTTGAAACCGCCTGGCAACTCTACCAATCTTCTGGGGCTGCTTCCACCTTTCCCTGTGGGGCATGAGCCTGGTAAGTGCCAGCTGATACAGTCGGTTTGTCACTGGACAAATCATAGAATACTAGGGCTGGAAAGGACCTTGAGAGGTCATAGAGCCCAGTCCTCTGCCCTCATGGCAGGACCAAGCACCATCTAGATCAGGGTGGGCAAGATACCACCTGTATTGCAAACGCAGAGCCCCATTGATTTCAGGGGTGTCCATGCTGCAAGGGTTTTCAGGGAGGGGGGGAGGGAGGAGTGGGGAGGTCAGCCCTGCCATGGGGCCTACTGTGTGCCTAGGAGCTCAGTATCTCCTACCAGGCTCCATGCACTGAAAGCCCCAGCTGGATGATGCCCTGCTCCTTATCTCCTCCCATTCTCTAGCTACACTTCATTGAAGGAGATGACAGTACTCATAACAAAGATCTATCTACTTGTATGTTCTCTGTTGCCATCCTGGAATGAGTAAGTGTTTCCAAAGGTGCTGGAAGTGGGCAGTTTTTATCATATACAGGATTTACAGTTTGGTACAACAGTTCTCAGCAGCCCAGCTATACAAATTGGTCTAGCACCCCAGATACCCCTTTGATTTTTGCTATCAATTATTGGTCTTTTTGTACCGGAGTAGGGCAGCTTCTTTCACAGTGTCTACACCCTATGTACCAAAGGCGGGAGCTTGTAGGATGAGTTCAGTTACAAGCTACAATGAAAAACAGGCTTCATGCATAGTATGGTGCATAGCTATGTATGTCAGGAAGAGATTTCAACAGTTTGCCATTATGCAGTTATTCACTATGGTGAGGAAAAGCTCTGGCAAGGAGGAGGTAACGGGAAATATAATATTTCCCATTGCCTCCTGCCTGCTAGAGTCCTTCCTAGGTGCTAGAAATAGGGAGTCAGAGAAGTATTTCCCTGCTGCTGAAATCTCTGCCTGTGGTGGAGAAAGACTCCAACAGCCTAGAACTGCAGCGTTCTTTCCTTGATGTCTCCCATTGCCAGAACCTTTCTCTGCTGCAGGAGTCTTCCTGTGGCTAGGAGAGGCTCCAGCAGTAGTAATGTGTAGCTTGGGCAAGTAGAAAGCCATGCAAGTTATGTATTTGGGTCCATACTGTCAGCAGGACTGTTCTTAGGCATACATAGTATATGTCCCAAATTAAGAACTAGCCACATATACCTGGGGCAGCTCCCGCATCCTATGGGCTCAGTGTCAGGGCTCCAGCATCCCCCAGCCCTTAGCCACCCCTGCCCTTCCCCCCTTGTGGACTCTGCATCCAGCCCCTGCTCACCAGACAGTGATGAATCATGGGACTCAGAGGAGCAGAGGGAAACCATGCAGCCAGTGTAAAGAAGTGGGCTGTGTTTACATTGACATCCCTTTCCGGAAAAGGGATGCTAATGAGAAACTTCGGAATTGCAAATCCGCGGGGATTTAAATATCCCCCGTGGCATTTGCATTTACATGGCTGCCGCTTTTTTCCGGCTCGGGGTTTTTGCCGGAGAAAAGCGCCAGTGTAGATGCGATTTTCCGGAAAATAAGCCCTTTTCCGGAAGATCCCTTATTCCTACTTTCAAGCAAAAACCCCGAGCCGGAAAAAAGCGGCAGCCATGTAAATGCAAATGCCGCGGGGGATATTTAAATCCCCCGGGGATATTTAAATCCCCCGCGGATTTGCAATTCCGAAGTGTCTCATTAGCATCCCTTTTCCGGAAAGGGATGCCAGTGTAGACACAGCCATGGTGTTTTTCCCCCACTCCTGAGTTGCCAACTCTCCCAGACTGGATGGGTCAGATGCCATTGCAGCAAATGGCATCTGGTTCAGGAGAATTGGCAATTCTCTTCCCCCCCACAGCTTTTGACCTCTGCATGTCCTCCCACCCATGCGGAGTGATCACTTCCCCCTCAGGTGTGTGTGCTGGTGCTTGTCTGGTGTGCTCTGGCCTCACTCCTGAGGAGCCCCCTGCCACTCTGCACTGCTGCCTCAAAAACAAAATGTTTTTGTTTGTGTCAAAACAAAATATTTAATTTTGTTTCACAATAAATTACTTAATTTACTTCTTTTATTTCCCTATAAAAGCACCTGCAAATTAGTTCCATTTCATGTCTGTTTGTCGTTCTTCTACCTTCTTCATCAACAAACACACTTGGAAGAGTTTGGCTTATCTGAATATCATGCCGAGCTCTTTGCAAACTCGTTTTGTCATCAACTGTCTTTTGCTGTTTTACACGGTGAATCTTCTATCATCTTTCTCCTCAACGTTTTACAGACAAGCTTATACTCCAGGCTGGTATTGCCCTTTGCTGCCATGTGTCTCCGTTTAGCAAGAGGATCAAGAGTTTGCTGGGTTAGACAGTTTCTGGACTCGTTAGGATTCTTCACAGTGGCAGCATTTTTACATTTGTCAAACTTTGCAAAGAAGTGATAGTAGTCGGAATCAATATCTTCGGTTTTATCCATTTCCCATGACTCAGAGTTGACAGCATATTTAAACAGATCTGAGCGGAACTGTTGTACCCGCATGCAGTCCCAAACTCTCCCCTTTATCCTTTCTTCCCATTTGATGTTTATTTTGACTCTTGCTCTAACTGATCAATGATAAGAACAAAGAACATAAGAACGGCCGTACTGGATCAGACCAAAGGTCCTTCTAGCCCAGTATCCTGTCTACCGACAGTGACCAGCACCAGGTGCCCCAGAAAGGGTGGACCGAAGACAATGATCAAGCGATTTGTCTCCTACCATCTCTCTCCAGCCTCTGACAAACAGAGGCCAAGGACACCATTTTATCCCCTGGCTAATAGCCTTTTATGGACCTAACCTCCATGAAATTATCTAGCTTCTCTGACTGTATACAGATCTGACTGTATACAGATGGCCGATTCCGAAATGCCTGTTATATCTGTAACCAGTCACCTCTTGTCCACTAGGACATAATCAATTTCATTTCTTATTACATCATTTGGTGCTCGTCAAGTCCATCGCCTTCCAACCCTCTTCTTGAAGAATTTGTTCATGATATATAGATGTGAGGCTTCTACGTAGTCAGTCAGCCTTTGACCTCTTTCATTTCTCATACCCGAGCATATTGTCCGATCTAGTTTTCTCGATCTTCTCCTATATCCCCCTTAGCATTGAAGTCACCAAGCACCGCCGTGTATGAATACAACTCCCCGACTCTTTCTTCTGTTGCTCCCAGAAGAATTTGTGATCCATCCTTCCATTTTGCTACTTCTCATTTCAGTTATGGCAAGAATGCCGATGTGAATACGATGCAGTTCTTCCAGCAATATATTGACCCGCTTATCACTTGAGAGGGATCACACATTAAGTGTGCGAACATATAAATTAATACAAATGGACAATCTCAATACTGCAAGACTCTTGGCATCCTCTGCCCCTGTATTCACCACTCCACTACCATCACCGTCACTGTGGACGTGAAGAGGAACTACATAGGATTGAAGGTCATGCTGTATTATCACAGTGTTCGTAGCTGCTGTGGCCAAATCGCCAACCTTTTGGTGATGAACTTCTCCGAACTTTGCTAGGCTGGTGCTTGGACGGTGGACACAGAGTCTGCCACCAGGGCCATACTCAAAACCTTTCCAGTTTGGTAGAACCTGTCAGAGCTTATGCACCGCTGGCATAGCGTTTGAGAGCCCAGGGTCACCTCCACGCCACAATGAGGCAGCAGAATAGGATTTTGTGGACTATTTTCGTCAGCAACAGCAGTAGAGCCATTAAACCTGAGCTCTGTCACTCCTGAACCTGATGTGCTCCACGAAGAAGTGGCAGCGGTCCTTCAGAAGATGAAGTTGGGAAGAGCAGCATATTTAGACCAAGTACACGTAGAAGAACTTCATGCAGGAGGTGATACACTCTTAAAAACATTTAGTGAGAGACTCTGAAGATATGTTAAAGATTGGAGAATTCCAAAAGATTGGAAGAGATTGAGAACTATTGTTCTGCCAAAAAAGGCAATCGAGAAGACATTCGTGACTATCTACCCAGCTGCCTACTTTCTCATCTTTATAAGATCTTTATGAGAGTGATCTATGCCCGTATTGAGGATGTCCTTGGGGAAAACATGAGAAAAGAACAGGCTGGCTTTCTTAGGCAATTCTCCACAGTGAACCACATTTTTGTGGTCACACCAATGACCAAAAGGGGTAGAAAGTACCAGATCCCGCTATGCTTGTTGTTCATTGACTTTAAAAAAGCTTTTGACTCGGTGGACAAAATTCAACTTTAATTCATGATGCAGCTTTAATCTGGAAATCACGCTTTTTGATGAAACTTTGATTATTGAAGCAAGGAGCAAAGCAAAGTTGTTTGCCAGCGTCCTGGAAAATGTCCTACAGAAGATCGAAGTGAAAGATGGATTTCTGATTAATGGCAAGCTTCTTCAGATGCTCCTTTTCACAGATGACATCATCCTAATTTTGTTAGAACCTGAAACATTGCAAAACCTCCTCAGTGACATTGGTAAGAACGTGAAGGAGATTGACCTGACCATCCACACTGGAAAAATGAAGAGGATGAAAAACACATATTGTCCATAGTACATCATGCAGCTGGATGAACAGTTTGTTGAGTTAGTGGATCAATATATATATCTTGGACAAATATTGCAGATGGACAATGAGTTGGGCCTGAAATTGAGCAGGAGAAAGAAGTTGGGCTTGATTGCTGTTAGGAGTCTGTCCAGTGTTTCTGTTGATCCCAAACTTTCCACCACTGCAAAGCCCATGTCTTTAACACCATTCTCCTTCCGATAATTCTGTATGGTTGCGAAATTTGGAACACAATACTTACAGAAGAATTAAAGCTGTAAACCACCCAAAGAACAGTGGAAAGAGGCATGGAGTGTGTAAGTAGGCCACAGCATGTTACTGTCGATGATTTGTGTGCAAGAAGTGGTATCATCGATATCCAAGTTGTGTTCAATCAGAAAAGGAGATGGGCTGGCCATGTAGCGAGATTGAGAAACAACAGATGGACAGTGAATATACTCCATTGGTATCTGCAAGATT